GCCCCGCCCCCGCCCGCGGCACTCCCCCGGAGGCTCCGGTGTCCCCCCGGCGCCCCCAGACCCCGGCCTTCAGCACCGAGGCAGAAGGCAGGAGCAGCAGCAGAGGCAGGAGGACGAGGAGGAGGAGGAGGAGCCGTCGCAGGATGAAGGATCGGACTCAGGAACTGCGGAGTGTGAGCTTGGGGGTGGGGAAAATGGGGGAGGGACCCCAAGATTTGGGGAGCGCGTGGGGGTGGAGTGGGGGAGGTGCTGGGATATGGGGGCAACTGTAGGTTGGTGGCAGGGGCGCCACAGCGTCGGGAGGCACCTCATGTTCTCCAGTGAGCATGCATTTTGGGGACAGTGGCCGGAAGGGTTGGAAGCCCTTAAGACACAGGGGGCCATGGACACCCCACATTCCCAGCAGGGCCCTGGGTCTAATCTGGGGATGGGAAAGAGTGACTCTCAAGAGAAAACTGCAGGGTGCTGTCAGCTCTCTGCAGGTTGGCCAAGTTGGAAGGATGGGGCTGTCACTGGGCCAGGCAGAGTCTGGTAGGACCCAGAAATGGGGGGTGCCACGGGAAGGACACAGTTGGGACTGAGATGCCAACACCTGGCGCTGAATGAAGTGCGTGTGTGTGCACACGCGTGTGTTGCTCCCTGTGGGGAGGGGACACTTCTCAGAGATAAGGAGGGAAACGGTGGCCTCAGGAGATGGCCAGAGGGCCAGGGCCTGGGATGGGGTGACCCCAAAGGTGGGAGATGAGATTGCAGAGGAGAGGGAGGAGATTCCACTCCCCGGGGCCAGAATTGGGGTATATGCCATGGACTGTGCTCTATGGGGGTAACTGGGGCATCCGGAATGGTCCGGGCCGGGCTGTTGAGGGCCCCTGGTCGGCAGGCCTGAAGAGCCCAGACTCCAGGAGCCTGGCCAGACAGCTAACTGTGTTTGGGTGAGGGGGAGGAGGACGGCATTGGTGTCTGCAGTGCAGGCTCCCGGTTGGAGGGGCCGGGGAGTGTGGGGGCTTGATGAGAATGGTCTCTGGGGCCCGGAGGATGCTGGAGGATTTGGAGAAATGACCTAAGACCCCAAGAGGCAGAGCTGACAGCCTGCTGTGTCCTCAGATTTTGTGGAGTTATGTTTATAAAGGACTAGCCCCAGACGATTTACCCCCATTTGACAGATAAGGAAACAGGTCCAGAGATGGGCAGGAACTTGCCCAAGGTCACCAGTCAAGTGGGTGGGAGGGTCAAACTGGAATCTGGGTTTCCTGTCTGCCATGTTGACATGTGTCTCTGTGTTTTTTGGCCTTTGAAAAAGAAGTCTCAACACTGGGGTTGAAAAAGTCTGTCTTTGGAGAGCCCCCTGGATTTGGGGGTGAGAAAACAGGTTACAGAAAGACAAGAGGAAAAGGGTTGGAGGGTCTTGTCTCTTGGGAGAGATGGGTGGGCAGATGGGAAGGAAGGAGGAACTACTGGTTGAGGGAGGGAATTTTAAAGGTTTATTTCTTTATGGAACTTGTACTGAAAAGGCATCAGGAAAATGACAATAATAAAAACAACGGACACTCATGTGCCAGACATTGTTCTAAGTGTTTTCTACCTATTGACTCATGTTGATTAGTACAGTTAGCCCTAAGAGGCCGGTACTAGTATTATCCCATTTTATAGATCAGGAAACTGAGGCCCAGAGAGGTTAAGTAACTAGACCAAAGTCACATAGCTGATAAGAGGCAGCCAGTGCTCTAAACTACCCCTCTCTTGCAATGCAGTTTTCATCCAAAGCAGATTACCATCCATAATCTCGTTAGACCTTCACCAGCCTCCTGGTAAGGTAGGTAGACTGAAAGACTATCTCATATTATAGCCGAGTAAACGAAAGCCCATAGTGGTTAACTAACTCACCCAAGGTCACACAGCTAGCAAGTGAGGAGTCTAGATTTGAACCCAAATCCCCTGCTGTCAAGACTCTTCCATGACCCCAAAACCCAGAGAAATGGAAAGTGGGTTGGGGTGAGGTGGTGGAATTGTGGAATAATTCGAGACAGGGCGGGAGGGAAAAAAGAGGGAGGAGGAAGCAGGGGATGGGAAGCCCCCCTCTGAGTGGGTCAGGGGACCCTGAGCAGAGGTGAGGAACCCTGTCTGCTGGGGCTGCTGGGGCCATCCAGGTGGAGGAGGTGGGAAGTGGTATGGAGAGGTGAGGAGGCTGGGGGAATGCTGGTGGCTCTGGTGTTAGTCACATTTCAGGGAAACTGGAGATTTGGGAGAGGGTGGGTGGGGCAAAAAGAAGCTGCCAGATGCAGGGAGTACTGAGGGTCTCCCTGCCTGTGCTGACAGCAAGGAGGCTGGGAGGCAGGAGCGACTGGGCAGGGTGTGGGAGGCCTGGGAAAGGGGTCTCTCAAAGACCGAGAGGGATGAGGGGGCAGTGGTGGGAGGGGGTGTCAGCCCAGGGGGCCTGATCATCTTTGTAAAAGTGCTTTAGAGTTCCAGATGGGTTCTCAGATCTGTTTATCATGTAGCAGTTGAGGACACAGATTTGGAAGTCAGACTGTCTGGGTTCAAACACTAGCTTTGCTACTTCTTGTGTGATCTTGGATAAGTTGCTTAACCTCTCTGGTCCTCAGTTTCGTCACATGTGAAAAGAGTAACTCACACTTTGCAGGCTTGTCCTAAGGGTTGAAATTAGTTACTATGCAAAAAGTACCTAGAAGAATGTCTGATGCCCAGCAATTCTCTATGAGAATTTGTTATTCCACAGCTGACTTGTTTATTTCTGTTGAACTTCACATCAGCCTCCTGAGGTGGGCAGGATGTGACCCTAATTTATTTTGGAGTCAATTGAGGGCCACAGAGATAACCTGACTTGCCCAAGGTCACATAGCTGTTAATGGCAAAGCCAAGGTTGCACCGGGCTTTTCTGTCTCCAGTTCATCAAACACCTTTGGTTGGGACCTGGGAGGTGCTGGGTTTGAGTGGAGGCTGTGATGGAGAGCCAGTCAGCTGGATTGGTGTCCCAGGGCCCAGGAGGCTGAGGCCAGGGATGAGGCTTAAGAGGAGAGGAGGGGGAGCAAGGGAGGTAGAGAAGGAGGCTGGTGGGGAAGCGAAAGCACAAGACACACTGTGGGCTAGAGCCTGTGGGACGACCATGTGGTGGGAAATCAGGAGATAGAAGAAATGGGGAGACTGGGAAATGGGGGAAGGTGAGGCCCGCTTGAATTGGAGGCCAGGTGGGAATGGGGGCTGTGACAGGTATAGCTTCAAACACCAAGTTCTCCCGGGCTCGGGGCGCTTTGCACTTGTTCCTTCTGCCCACAGTGCTGGTCCCTCTGTTTCGAATTCTGTCCCCTCTGCTTTGAATTCTGTGTTCTCCAGATTGTGGCACAGTTGATTCCTTCAGGACAGCTCAAATGTCACCCCCTGGAAAGGCCCTCCCCGACCATCCTGTTGCCCACTTCTTCTCTCTCACATCTTCAGGTTTATCTCCCTCCTGCTATTGAGCACAACCTGAAATTGTCATGTTTGTTTGTCATTGTCTGTCGCCTTCCACTGGGAGGCAGGATCTTCTCCCTGCCTTGTTCACCTCTGTATGCTCAGCAGCACCTGGAAGAGAACTTGGCACAGATCACACGTACTTGTTAGATGAGTGAATGACTCGAGGGACAGAGGGAGGAGAGGAAGGCAGTATGTATGTGGTCAGGCAGGAGGGTTAGAGGAGAGAGGCTGGGGGGAGGGCCAGGCCAAGAGGACAGGTGGACAGCAGTGGGGTGCCATGGAGTGAGGCTGCTGCCTCTAGGTCAAGTGACTGCTTGCACCCCTGAGGAGTACATGTGAGCACGTGTGTTTGTACACGGGCCCCCATGTGTTTACACACACACACATATACCCACACACCCTGTGACTTTCCTATCCCCCAATTCCAGTCTCTTTCCTCCTGTCACCATCTGTCTCTTTGGTCACTGGCTTGCTGGCTTCCGCTCCTCCTTCCATCTCCGCATCAATGTTGTCTCCTGCTGCTGACACCCACACGAGGGCCGGTGGTGTCTCTGGTGGGGAAGGACTGAAGCCAGAGGCTTGGATCTGATGACTCCTTTCCCAAGGTGGTTCCAGAAGGTTCCAGGATCTCTGGACTCTCTACTTAACCCTCTCAAGCCCTTGAGGAGTTGGCGAGCAGTAGAGAGCAAAGAGCCTGGGTTCAGACACAAGCACCACCCTGTCAGCACCCACCAGCTGTGTGATCTCGGGCTTTCATCTCTCTCAGCCTTGGTCTCCTCATCTGTCAAATGGGAATAGGAGTAGTATCTACTTCATGGAGTGGATGTCGGTAGTAAAGGAGAAATGCACGGCATTGTCACGGGGCCTGACTCATGGCGATGAGTGCCTGTGTGTCCAATGTGTGAGTCTTATCTTCCTCTTTTTGCACATGAGGAAAATGGAGGCTGGAATTTTCCATAAGGTAAATGGAAGTACATTGGATCATCTTTTCCTGGGTAGTCTCATTTACCCGCAGCCTGCTTTCTTTTAACTGGCCAACTTCTTCCAGAAATGGAGGCTGTACTCATGACCGAACACCCACAGCTCGGAGCAGTGAGAGCCCCTGGTGAGCACATGCACCAGCCCACTCAGTCACCGCTGAACTGGGGCCCCGAAAGGGGCTGAGATATTCCTAGGGTCACACAGCAGGTCAAGGGGAGACCAGAATGCCTGGCTTCCTGTTGGGGTTCTTCCCGCAGCCGGATACTCTTACCAGCTTTCTGTCCAGGCCACGGGACTTGAGCAACAGTGAGGACAGCATAACGGACTCTGTGGGGCCAGGTAGGAGTAGACAGTTCAGGTCCCACCCCTGCCTTATCGGCTGTGAAGCCTCAGGCAGGCGAGGCAACCTCTCTGAGCTTGTCTTCTCATCTGTGTTGTGGGAGCGGCAGAGTAAAGTCAGCCCTCCCTGAGCTCTCATTCTCTCACTGGCAGCATCACACATTCTTCCTGGCTGGTCTCACTGCTGGTCCCACCATTTGGGGCAGACATTCCTGCCAGTCAGCAAATGCGGAGGCTGAGGCTCAGAGGGGAGAGGCCCTGTGGCCTTCTAGCTGCTGACCTGGGCAAGTTCTTTAGCCGCGATGCCTCGGTTTCTCCATCTGTAAAAGGGAGCTATCATAATATCTACTTTGCAGGGTTATGTGTAAGAATTAAATGGATAAATCTATGCAGAGCACAGAGAATGGTCTCCATGACCTGCTAGGTAACTGTTTGCTGTAATTATAATTACATTGGTTAGTGGTTCCCATTAAGTTTTAATGTAGATTAAATGAGATATTATTACCTCCTTATGGAGGTAAGGTCTATGCAGAGGTGTTAGTAAATGATAGTATTTTGCTAGGATTTCAAGGCACAGAGCCTCACCTAGATGGGCCTTAGCGGGAGCCACCTGAGAGGGAAAACAGCTGACGGCAGAGCCACTAGAACAAGGGGCTCTTGGGAGGGGATGTGTGGGGGACATGTCTTAGATGCCTGTGGTTTCTCAGCCCCTTTCAGCCTGGGTGACCTCGGACAACTCACCTTCCCCGCTCTGACTTCCTGTTCTCTCATCTGTGAAATGGGGACAGTGATATTTGCTCCCCCTTTCTCAGCAGGGTCGTGGGGATGAGGATCACATGGAATATACTATAGATGCCAAAGTATTGGTGAACTGTAGAGGGTTGTTAGCTCTCAGCTCCCTGTAATTACTACACCAAATAAGCCACATTTGGGCCCTCTGCCTTTCTTCCTGTCTCAAGGTCAGGAAAACAGGCAGTGAGGATGCCTCAGGGCAGAACCTAAGGGGACTGGCTCAGGGAACCACAGAAGAGATAGAAATTAGACTTAAGGGAGTCTAAAGTCAGCCTGGGGAAGGGAGAGAGGCAGAGAACAGGAGAGGTTCCAGGCAGCTCATGACCTGTGGGCAGCTGGGCTGAGGGTTGAGGCTTGAAGGCAGAGAAGAGGAAGAAGAATGGCTTTTGGCCTTAGGGGACAGAGACCTCATGGCGCAGCTAGCTCTTTGAAGACAAAGCATCCTGGGAGGCCGGCAGGGCCTCAGAGGCGAGCCAAGCATTCCAGAGGGTCCAGGTCTGTTGGAATGATCCTGGGTCCAGTGGAACCTTGAGAAGCCAGAAGTCCCACCAAGGTCCCCAAGCTCCAGCTGGTGCCATCCCTACTTCTGGGGCAGCTGTGGGCAGAGATGGAGGAGCCTCACTTTCCCAGTGGGTATTTGGGATTGTCTGGAAATTAAATGTAAGTGCTGAACACACTTTCTCATATGGCGTGGGGCCCAGTGTAGGTGGGGAAAATGCCTGGAGTTTTGGGGCAGGGCTTGAGCAGGAAACTGGGGTGGCTTTGAGAATGTCCGGCTGCGTCTCCTGTGGGCTTGCGGCTCTTCCGGAGCTGTCAGGGGACTCTGCTGATTCCAAGTTTACTTGGCTGTCTAGATCGCATCTAGGTCCCATCTGGCTCTGTCTGGGTTCGATCTGAGCTGTCTGGGATCTGTGCGCCGAGTCTGGTTCAGTCTGAGCTTGTCTGGCTTCTGTGAGGTCCAGTCTGCGACCTGCTCGGATCCTATTGAGGTTCCGTTTGAGCTCGTCTCTTTAGAGTCCAACTGGCTATACCCACAGGTAGACAGTTTTTGGATCCAGTCTTGATTTCATTCAGGCTCTGGAAGTTAAGAGTCTGTCGGAGTTTTGGCTAGGTTCTCTCTGGAAATCAAGGTGAACTGTGTTTCCGTTTCCATTGGAGCTGATTAGGGCTCCAGATGTAATTAAGCTTGAAGGGCTCAGCTTTTGTCCTCAGCCTTCTGTCCCAAGAAGAGAGGAGTCTTGAGTCAGGAGTGGGTAGCACTGGGGAGCCTTCCCTGTCCCCCTCTCCTCTTTCCCAGATCTGAATGAGTGTGCAGACCTGAGGCCGGAGGGGCTGGGAGAACAGGCTCAGGGGGCCCTGCAGAATGTCCCTGGGGGTGCTGGTGACCGGCTGTGTCCACACATGTCAGCATGCAGCTCTGCTGTGGGTCTGTGTGCGGCTCAATGTCAGCATGTCGCTGCATCTCCATGTGGGTGTCAGTAGGCCTGGCTCTGTGTGCCTTGTGTGTCAGCCCTTCTGTCTGTGTCACCGGTCTGCCTGTTGGTGGAGGTGTGGGTGGGTAAGTCCCTTTGTGTCTCTGAGCCCTGGGGGCGGAGGGCTGAGCAGCTGCAGGTTGCAACTGGGAAATCCAAGCAAGTGAGAATAGGTGGGTGTGAAGTTGGAAGAGGCTGCACAAAAGCAGGGGAGAGTCGGGAGGGGCAGAGCCGAGGGGGTGCGGGTGGGCAAGAGGAGGAAGACACAGAAGTGACGCAGGTCAGGGTGCTTCTTGTCTCTCCTCCAGCCCTCACTGGGCCTGACTGCTTGCTCAACCCAGCGCCTGTAGCTGGCAGTGAACTGACCTTGCATAGGAGACAGTGGCCGGAGGGAAAGAGGAGGGGAGCCAGGGGAAGCTGGGGCAGGAGTGGCTGGAGGGATGGTGGAGAGGGTCAGACTCCTGGGGCTCCATTCCAGACCTTTCTCAGAGCCCCGAGCCAGTTATTGCAAAGCTAACATTCAGCTGGTTGTTACAATATTGAAATCCTTTCATACTGGTTGGTTAATAGCAGGTGTTCTGAGCGCTACCAGCCTCCAGGCGGCTGCATTCACAGGGCCACATTCACCCCGAAAGGGTGCCTTTTGCTAATTCCCTCCCAGGTGTCCTTTGGGCTATCAGCTCCCTGGCCTCCAGGACCCTGTCCCACAAGACGCGCAGTGTCGGTTCTGACTGCCTGGGATCCTGGCCGTCCCCCTACACACGATCCCTCTCAGGAGCGGCAGGACCTGGGTGGAGGCGGCTCAGGGTCTCTCCCTTTCTTTGCGCCCCCAGGCGAAAGACAGTGACGATGAGGAGGAGGTGGTCCATGTGGATCGGGACCACTTCATGGATGAGTTCTTTGAACAGGTAATGGAGCCTCCAAGGCCCCAAAACCCAGGACGTGGCCCCCAGCCAACAACTCCCTTCTCTCTGCCCCCTGTTCTCTACTCCTGCACCCCTTGGTCCTTTACCAAGCCTTCTGGGTCCGCCCCATGTCCCTGACCGAGCCCCCTGGAGATCTCTGTCTGGCCTGAAGACTTGGTCGGGTACAGTTGATTTGCTGCCCCAGGTGGAAGAGATCCGGGGCTGTATTGAGAAGCTGTCGGAGGATGTGGAGCAAGTGAAGAAACAGCACAGCGCCATCCTGGCTGCCCCCAACCCAGACGAGAGTGAGTGCGGCCGGTGGGGGGCTGTGGGCACGAGGGAAGGGGTCCAGGGTCCCACTCAGACTTCTCATCTGCGCTGCCCTGCCCCACTTAGAGACCAAACAGGAGCTGGAGGACCTCACTGCAGACATCAAGAAGACTGCCAACAAGGTTCGATCCAAGTTGAAAGGTGAGGACTGCCATCCCCGGTAAGGAGAAAAAGTCAGTGTTCTATCAGAAATGTCTGTAGACTTCCAGAAGCCAGATTCTTAATCAGTGAGAAAGCACAAAGCCCCAGATTTCCCTCCTTGCTCCAGATTTTCAGGGAGATGCCAGAGAGGAGGCTGTCTGTCCAGATTGCATTTGAGCTCTGCTGGTTCCATCGGCACAAACGTCTCCCAGAAAAATAGTCTTCCAAGTGGTTTTAGTTGCATTAAGACCTTGTTTCTCCAGAGCAGGTGCCAGGCCTAGCGCTCAGTATCCAGTAGGTGGGTTCAGTAAATGCTTCGGAATTGGAATCCTTGGCTCAGGACAGATTGGGCTGTGTCGCTGACATCAGGGGCTGGCAGGTTTTCAGGAGGGACTTGCCAAATGCTCTTGGAGTCACTCTAATTTAAGGACTTGGGTGCCGCTGATAGCCACCTTTCCCCAAAGCAGTGTGGGTTGGGGACCTCATTGTCTGCTGCTGCCAGGGGAATAGCAGCATTACTGCGATGCTAATTTGTATGTTCATGGTAATTTGGCATCAGAAAACATTTGCCAAGCACCTACTCCATCTGTGGCCCTTTGCCGGGCTTTGGGGAAAAGGAACCATGTCAGATGACTGGCCCTGGGCACTCTGACCTTGGTCCAGGGAGAGGCGTACAGGGGACTAGATGCCCCCCTGGACTCAACAGGAGGCCATGTGTCAGCCTCCAGTGAGGGTCTGTAAAAACATCCCTTTTGCTGGGAAGGAAAATGACCTAAACTGGGAGAACATTCCATGCACATCCAGGGAGACGGAGGCCAACTTACATCATTAGCTCATTCTGGACAAGCACCCTACCCTTGGCTTCCTCAGCAGAAAATTAAAGCAATTTCAAAACTGGCTTTTTTTTTTTTTTTTGGCAGCAAAATCCTTTTTTCCCCAAATGAAATCTTACAAAGAACTCCAGTATATACAGCCCGTAAAAGTCAGGCTGTTCTGGGTGAGCTGGGGTCAGGGGGCCCAGGGCTCCCCTCCACTCCTGTCAACAGCTCCTGAGATGCTTTCTCAGAAGCAGGGTGCCATGGAACCACTGAAAAATCCCTGGGTGCAATGATTTCTTTGGGCCCATCAAGCTCTGACCTTAATAGTTTCTATTAGGCCACGAGGAAGGCTCCATGGTTTAGGGGTTCAGGAATAGACCAAGAAATAAACTAGGACAAGTGGCAGTGACTTAGAGAAGCCGACCTTCCAGGCCTCAGAAAAAGAGCGAGTCTCTTCATCTTCCTCCATCTATGGGGTAGCTCAGGCTTTGTGCGTGGCTTTGAGTGAGTTTTTTACCCCTTTCAACCTGTTTCCAGTTGGAAACATGGGCTGATATCACTGAACTCTCAGGGTTGTTGTAAGAAGTTGGTGAGACCCTGTAAAGTAAGAGAGCCCTTCCTTCTAAGCGAGGCCCCAGCCCCAAGTCTGACAATAGGGTTCCCTCCTGGATGAGAGGTCCCATATCCCCGGGTGTGTGTTCCTGTGCTTTTCCTGCAGCAGCTATCCCCAAGCTGTCACTCAGTACCCGCCTGACACTGCTGGCAGGAAGTGTTCAGGTGTCATCCTGCCCCATACCTCCTCTGCTCCCAATAGAACGGAGAAGAGATGGAGGCCCTTCCTGGCCTGAAAGGGCCTGTGATTCATCCTGCTGCATTTTTCTAGCACAGGAGATCTTACCTCAAGCTCTTTTTTAGAAAATCTGAATAAGTGTCTGGAGTACGTGACCCGGAAGCAGGAATTCCAGTTAATCTGTGCGCTTTCCCAGAACATCTTTTCGAAGTGGGAATTCCCGGGATAGGGATCACCTTGGAGGGCAGAGGGGGCACTATTTTCTCTGTTGGAACCTCCACCCACTCACCCTAGAATTTTCCAAGGAAAGGGTGGCCCCTGGAACCTGACCCACCCGGGAGTGCTTGCCTTCCACCCGAAAAATCCCAGGGTGTGTTCCTGCCCCTTTCCAGAAGATGTAGGAAGTGGAGTCCTCTGCACACAGGGGACCCTCACGGTGCATTGCCCCCACACCCCTCCTGAGATTGGGCTGTAGTTACAGCTAGGGGCTTTCCAAGACCCAACCCTTCCAACAGTATAAGTAGACCCCTTCTGTCTGGTGACCTGCCGACCCAGTCTCCCTCCTACCTGCCTTCTGGACCCCCTCAAACGTGTCTCTTTACTCGCCCGACTCCTGTCCCTCACCCTGGATTTTTTGCTGTCTGCCCTCACCACGGGTGTGACATCTCTTCACAGGCCTAGGGCCTGCCTGGGGGGGGGGGGGTCGACCCTTCAGACATCCCAGAACCCAGTCCCACAGCCCTGGGCCTCCAGCCCGTCACTGCGTCCTCTCTCCCACAGCGATCGAGCAAAGCATTGAACAGGAGGAGGGGCTGAATCGGTCCTCCGCGGACCTGCGCATCCGCAAGACCCAGGTAGGAGGCGCGGCCAAGCAGGGGCGGGAACAGGACCTGGACCGAGTAGGGGAGGAGCAGGGCCCCAGCTGAGCTTGAGTACGGGGCGTGGCCAAGGGGGACCCAGGGCGGGGCTATCGCAAAGGGCGGGAACGGATCACAGTGCTCTAGCCCGGGACGCCCCTGGTTTGGGCGTAGGATAGGGGGCGGCTGGTAGAGCGCTGTGCGCTTGTGAGGGGGTTGGTATCGCAGCGCGATCTCCCCTCCTCCCCACTCTTCCCCCGCACTGCCGGCTCACCCTTTTGGTCTGTGTGTGCTCCCCGCTTCCTGATGTGTGTACCCCCACCCCAGCACTCCACACTCTCCCGGAAGTTCGTGGAAGTAATGACCGAATATAACGCGACCCAGTCCAAGTACCGGGACCGCTGCAAGGACCGGATCCAGCGGCAGCTGGAGATCAGTGCGTGTGCCCCGCCTCCAAACTCCCCAGGCCGCTGGAGCCCCTTCAAGGCCCTTCTTCGAAGAGGGGGAGCCTGGCCCAAGGCCGGGTGGAAGGGTGGTCTCCCGGGTCCCCGCCCCAGCCCACCACCTCAGACCCCAGGCTGGCGCAACCCCCGAACGTGAAGCCCTTTCTCCCCACAGCGGGAAGGACTACGACCAACGAAGAACTGGAGGACATGCTGGAAAGCGGAAAGTTGGCCATCTTCACTGACGACGTGAGCTCCGAGTGGGGGCGGGGTCTGCTTTTGGAAAGCGTTTGTCTCTCCTTCCCAAGCTGAGGTTGAACTAAAGTCCGAAGTCTACCCTGGAATAACAACTAGTGGGAAGCCCGGAGCTGGAACTGGGGAATTCCATGGAGGCAGAGCAGGAAAGCACCCCCCCTAAAAATGGCAAACAGTAGTGTGCCAAGTGCTGTTCTAAGCACTTTACATATTTACATTTACCTATGAAACTCATTTAATCCTCCCTACTACCCTCTGAGGGAGTCACAGTTCACATCTGGCCAAAGAGGTTCAATAATGTTCGGAGGTCACACAGCTGAGGGCAGAGCCAGGACTTGAATCCAGGTCTAGGCTCAGAGTCCGGACTCCTCGGTACTAAGATACACAGCCCCCTACCAAAGCAGGTCATTTCACCAAATGACTAATGTGCCAACATCCTGAAGATTTTTTAAAGTCCCTGTTTGGGTTTCGCACGCTGCCTGCCCTTGGCATCTTACGTGTGAAAGGATGGGCTTCCCCAGCTGTAGTTCCTCTTTCTCTTTGTTAATTCTTGCCCTGGCCTACCCAGCTCTGTCTCTATTTCTGTTTCTGGTGGCGGAATAGCTCTGGTTAAGGTTTCTAGGCCAGGATTAAAGGATGTTCAGTGACTGTCTAGCAGTTTTCAGCAAATTGTGACTTAGGGCCTTCGTCTTTGTTAAATTAGCTTTGAGCAGATTGATGGTGAGCAGTTAGCCTGGAACCATCCCAAACAGCTGTGCCCAGGCTGTGTGTCTGTCTGTCTGAGAATGGAGGGAAGCCTGGGAGTGGTTCTGAGGAGACAGGGTGGATCCCAGCACTGCAGGGGAGCCTGTCATTACAGGGCTGGAGGGCTGTTCAAGATGTAGGCAAGCCCTAAGGTGGGGGTGAACTTCTAGAGTCAGGGACAGCTTCCTGGGAAGTGGCATTGAACTGTGCCTGAAGAGCCAAGGAACATTTGGACAGGGGGAGATGGGCGGAGGGAACAGACTGGACAAGGACAGGGAGAGTGGAGCACTTGCTGAATGGCCAGTGGGTGACTTTGGCTCTTACAGGATATGCAGGAGATGAGGGCAGGAAGCAGGCCTGGACCTTGGCTCCTAAGGTAGAGGGCTGTGGCGTCTGGTAGCAGGGAGCCCTGGAAGGTTTTACCACAAAGGGGTGGCTTGATGTGGTCCAGACAGTGAGTGGTTTAGGGAGTGAGTGGGTGGGCCAGGGCAGACATTGGTGATTGTGAGTTGGGGTCTCCCTCCCACTGACTGTGAGGCCTGCGGTGCACTTCTTTATCATTTCCCCCCATCTCATGTCATGGGGACCCAGGGGACTTGTGGGCACACTGCTTTCTCATCTCTGCTTGCCACTCTCTGTGCTGTGTCCGCTCGCATTACCCCGTCTGCCTGACCAGATGGGAGCCCCCATACTGGTGGGGGCCCCGGAGCCCTGGCTCCCTGCCCAGGACTTCCTTGGTGTGTGTGTGTGTGTGTGTGTGTGTGTGTGTATGTGTGTGTGTATGTGTGTGTGTGGTAGAGGCAGCCCTGGGTGGAGGTGGTGGGCTGAGGACAGGCTTTGCTTCCTGTAATTTAACAGACTTCTCTTGAGCTTTTCATGTGTGCCGGGGACTGTTGTAATCGGTGTACACGTGTTAACTCATCTCATCTTATTAACAGCCCTGGGGTGGGCACTATTATCATCCACATTTCCTAGGTGGGGAAACTGAGGCCCGGAGAGGTTAAATAATTTGCCCATGGATACAGGTAGTGAGTGACAGCCTGACTTGAACCTAGACACCCTGGCTGTAGAATCCAAGTTCCTATGGGAGTGAATGGTGGTCTTCAGTGCCTCCCTTCCCCCATCGCCCTAGATCAAAATGGACTCGCAAATGACGAAGCAGGCCCTGAACGAGATTGAGACGAGACACAATGAGATCATCAAACTGGAAACCAGCATCCGCGAGCTGCACGACATGTTCGTGGACATGGCCATGCTTGTGGAGAGCCAGGTGCGGCCTCTTCCCTCTGTGACCCTTGCTTCCCAGCGGCCCCCTTTCAGCCTGGCCCCACCCCTCCCTGTGCACGTCCCCTCTGCAGGGTGAGATGATTGACCGCATCGAGTACAATGTGGAGCATTCTGTGGACTACGTGGAGCGGGCTGTGTCCGACACCAAGAAAGCTGTGAGATATCAGAGCAAGGCCCGGAGGGTGAGCTGGGGCAAGGTCTTGGGCAGGTGGGCACAGCTGGGGCAGGGCTGTGGGCAGGTGGGTGCAATCAGGGTGGGGTGGGACTGTGGGCAGGTAGGTTCAGCTGGGGCAGGGCCATGGGCAAGTGGACATAGCTGGGGTGGGGCCGTGGGCAGGGGGGCTGGGCAAGTGATGAAACATCCCTCCCCGCAAAGGCCTTATCTTTGGCTCTGACCCTCTTCCTTCTGTTTTCTCTCCCCTCTTCTTTTTCCTCACACCCTCCTCCCCATCTGTCTGCTTCTCTCTCTTTCTCTGTTTCTCTCTTTCTACTCCTGCCCCGTGGCCCTTTCTACCTACAGAAGAAAATCATGATCATCATTTGCTGTGTGGTGCTGGGAGTGGTGTTGGCGTCATCCATTGGGGGAACGCTGGGCTTATAGGGCCCCCACCCCTGTCTCCCCAGACCCTTCCCCCACCACATCGGGAGCAATACCCCCACCACCCCTTACACTCCACTCCCCACCCCCGGCCCCGCTCCAGGCTCAGCCCCAAGACAGACCCAGGCAGCTCCCCCTTTTCACCCCCGTCAGATGAGTCCCTGGACCTCAGCGCCATGGATCACCCCGCCCTGCACATAAATAGCAGCAGGCGTGCACACACATGCACACCAATATGCATGCCGCCGGTGCGTGCTCAAGACGTGTGGACAGCCCAGCGTGCGTGCGTGCACGCGCATGCTCGTAAATGTGTCTGGAGGCGCCTCCTCACCCTCCTTGCCCCAACCTCGAGTCTGTGTGTTGTCTGAGCTTCCCTCATTCACTTGGTTGTTGTGTAGACTGTGGCGGGTGTAACACAGCAACCCACCAAGCCCTGCTCTGTTGTGTGTGTGTGTGTGGCCACACAATTTGTGTACGTGGAATTTTGTGTTTATTTGAATCTAAGGCAACAGCACTTCTCCCAATGACACCCCCATACCCCGTGTCTGCTACAAAGGGGGCGCATTGTGAGTGCACAGATGCTCACGCTCACATTCCCAGAAGCTCCAGGCACACCCCAGTGTATGCAGAGAAATCCTTCCCGGCTTAGTCGCACAGGCTTATGTCCCGGGGAGAGTGTATGTGTGTGTGAGTGTGTGTGAGTGTGTGTGTGTGTGTGTGTGTGTGTGCGCGTGTGCGTGCACATGTGTGCCGTGGTGTTCTGCCAAGATGAGTGGCAGTGTATACGCAGAAATAACCTAGCTTGCTTTGTGTATATGTGTGCATTTCCCCCAGCAGGTGATGATGTGAGAAATATGTGTGTATCAGAATGTGCCTGAAGTGGGGGTGGGGCTCCATGTTGTGCATTGGACCTGTGTTTGGGGTGGCGCAGAAGTCTATATTTCTGTGCTATGTAGAATATTTGTGAGCGCGCGCGCGTGTGTGTGTGTGTGTGTGTGTAGACACTTTCCGTGCAGTGTTTCTGCCTCCTGGGTATTACATGCACACATGTTTCTCTTTAAGGACTTGTGCCCATCCAAGTTGGTTTAGGCGGGTTTGTTTGCCCTCCCTCTGCCCTGCTCTGCTGCCCCATAGCTGGAATGGCCTCTCTTTTCTACAGCCACATCGTGACAGGGTCCAGCCCTGTGCACACAAGCCCACATGCTTATCTCCCTGTTTCTGCCAGAGGTCAGGCTGCACCCTAACAGCTGGTACAGCACATGCTCACGCAGGCTGAGGCAGAGGGACTCATGAAGGTGGCTGCACACACACAAGCACACACACATGCAGAAGAGCACACGTGTGTGCTAACACACACAGGCCTGCACCCCTTTGCACACAAATGTCTCCTGGAAGGGCTGTTGTGAGAACAGTACTGTGAGGCCAGTGCCACAGGCTCTCCCAGATGCACTGAAAGTGACAGTGCCCCTGCCTTCCTCACACCACAGAGCTGGGAGAGGCCGGTACTGGACCTATTCCCCATCGGATGCTTTGGGCTCTGCCTTGGGGATCTTGGGTGTGGGGAACTTTATTTCACACACCCTGGAGTGGCTGGTGTGGCAGCGGCCACTGAAGGTGGGCTATGTCCCAGGACCCATGCCCTGGATCCATCTGCTAAAATGTCTGCAATAGCTGCTCCCCCACCAGGGTGTGACTGGGGGTGGGACACAGGCTGGGTGTCTGATGCTGAGGAAAGCTAGCTTCTCTCTCATGTGGACCAATTGTGCACAGGTGTGTGTGTGTGTCCGTTTGGTGGCAGGTGGGAGGTACGTGGGCAAAGGACAATATTAGAAGACCCCCAGTTCACGGCCAAGAAACATGAACACACAAGTAAGGACTGTGTCCTGCCCTGGGGTTGGGTGTACATGTGCACAAGGTATGTGCAGATCGTGTCCCAGGGTACCACTTTTCGTGGAACGTGTGTGCGTGTGTGTAAGAGACAGAAAATGTAGATGTGACCTGGAACAGTTACCCTGCCCACCCCCGCCCCAGCTCAGACAGCCAGCCTCTTTCCAACTGGGCTGTTGGAGCCCCATCTGTGTGTAGCCCACACGTATAACCAAGGTGGGCTGTCCTGAGGAGGGCGCCTGTCTGCTTGTTCCCAGAATGCCCTTCTGCAGAGCAGGAAATTTGCCTGTGTCTGACTAGCCCTCCTGCTCCTTCACGGGCTTCTTTGGGAACTGCCGGCGGCCCCTTTTCTTCCTGCTGCCCAGTTAGGACACTCAGCCTAGGCGTTTCTGGAATTTTCGCAGCCTGGGGGACAGAGGAGAAGGGTGGAGCCATGGCTGGAATGATGCCACTACCTCCTTGAGGGGTAGTGGTTCCCTAGCTGCCCATCTCAGCCTCAGTTGTACTAGAGGATCCCCGAGAGTGTGTGATGCCCCAATTTCCACAAGTCCTATGCATCATAGGATGTGTTTGCTTGTTGGGTGCTGTGTCTGTATGTGTCCTGGAGTGTTGTCTGGGGGCTAGTGTCTTCTGCATGTTCTCAGAGGAGTGTGTGCTGCCCACCTTCCCCACACCTATAACCACGTGTGCCCCGTGGGTGGTCCAGGCCTGGCCAGGGTTCGCTGCTTCCCCTCCCCATTTCTCCCTAGCCCCGCCTCTCACAAAGCACACTGCGCGTGTCCATCCCATGTGCCTGTGGGTTGACGCACTCTTGCCACGCCTCAAGCGTGTGTACATGATGTGTTCTATGCATTCACCCTGCCCCCCCCCCAGTCTGCCCCGCAAAGGACAAGATGGGCGGCCCCTGGCTCCCTTCTCCCCTACCTGCCCCTGCCCGCTGTGCAGCCATGTGCGTTGGCGTGTGTTTCCGTGTCGCTGACGTGTCACGTGATGTAGCCGTATTTGCTGACATGAGCCCCTGGCCCTTCTGTTTCTCCATTGGTTTCTAGAGCTCTTTCCTTCTCCTCCCCAGAGGGGACAGGACTCTCGGGGCCTGGCTGGGGGCCCAGAGCCAGGTCACCCTCTCCTGTTAGCCCTCAGAGACCCATTTCTCTCTATTGGTGACCAAGTTGCAAATGGATAAAACACAGGAAAATTCTGCCCTCTCTCCCCAGCCCTGCATGTCCTGTCCCCAGAGGCCCCCACCCCCACCCTGGGCCGGGTCGGCCCCATGGGACGGGAGAAATAGCAACCAATCCAACAGCGGGCGTGCTGCGTGCTGACTTCCTTCTGTCCCCACCAGGGACAGACGCCGCGGGGAGGGGGAGACACATGGAGGGAAGATGGGCCGGGTAACAGGGCAGGCGGCTGGACGCAGGCTTTGTTAGGCGTTTTAATCCAGGGCTTGGGCAGGTACAGAATGACTGGGGCGTCCTCAGGCAGATATCTCATAATATTGCAAGAACTGAACTTGGGTACCGGGGTGGGAAGAAGTGAAAACACACAGATTTCCTCAGGTTTCATTCAGGAGAATTAAAAGAGAAACATCTAAGGGTGATAAATGTGTTCAAATAATGGGAATATGACCCCCTCCAAGGAGGGACAAGAAAGCCTCTTGTCTAGGCCTGAGGATCATGGACATCAGAAGGCCAGCACAAGGCTTGCGGAAATCTACCCACTTCCTGATTAAAAAGCCAATATGGGATGGAGCAGTTGAGAACCTCAGGGAAACCAGACCCTTGCCATTCTGCCATCAGGCCTGGGTGGAGAGTGATGACGCTCGTGTCCTGGACCTTAGTGGCATCAGGACACGGGCTTAAGGCTCACGGGTAGATTTAACGCGTGGAGAGTTCTAGGGCAGCCAGTCTGTCCCCGGGCCCTTCCCCCAGTGCTAGGATGCAGGCTTCCCTCCCCACCCAGGGTTTGAGGGCTCAGGAGCTGAATGGCTGTGCCACGCGGGGCCCCAGGCCCCAGCTCTGTCATGGGGCTGAACCGTCCATGGCCCGCACCCAGCGGATGGTGCGGTTCCGGCTGTCCTCCCAGGAGAACAGGGGCTCGTAGCCAAAATGGCGCTGAGCCTTGTTGGTGCTGACGGTGAAGGTGGTATTGGCCATAGCCAGGGTGTAGGGGTTGAGCAGGGGCGCATAGAGCAGCAGCGGCCGCAGCAGCCACTGCAGTAGGGCGTTGAGCAGAGCCAGAAACATCAGTAGCCAGTAGGGCAGCAGTGGGCGGGCGCCTACCAGCCGCAACCCGCAGGGGCCCAGGATCTCCATGTTGAAGTCCTCATAGCTCTTGTAGGGCGAGCTGTCATAGCAGAAGTACACCTGGCCGCCCAGGAGGGCTGCTTGCTGCTGCAGCTCTCGGGCCACCAGCACGTGCATCCAGGCCACGTTGCCTACCAGTGGGGACAGGGGTGGACACGCCCCTAAGCATCTTTTTGACCAAGCAGAATGCAGCTTTTTCCTGGCCAGCCCAGGCACACAGACTCCTGTTTAGGCACATTCAGAGGCTGCCCCTCTCCTTCCAGCCGGGGAGTGGGGAGGGGGGGTTGGGGTGTGCTGCTGCCATAACTGTGGCCCTCTCCTCAGCCTGTGACTTGTTTTCTGTCTGCCTTCCTAACGTGCATGGATTCTGTTCCCTCTGTGGCCCGTGCAGGCAATGCCCAGTAGTCTACCCTGGCCTGGGTATAGACAGTCCTTTTCCATCCAGGCTCCTAGGCAGCCCACCCCCTAGAACCAGTGGGTCATGTCCTGGTCTCAGCCTCCCCTAGGCCTCACCTACGTAGACCCGGCCATGCTCCACAGAGGCCGGGATGGCTCGAAAGAGCCGGCCTCCCAGGCGTTGGCCCTGGTAGTAGATGTCCCTCATGATCTGGTGACCTTCACCATAGATGCCGGTGGGACGCAGGGCACAAGTCACCAGGGGCAGCCCTCCGTGGACCTGGGGACCAAAGGTAGGCACTGCTTAGCCCTGGGACCCAGTGGGCATCCCCTCTGGTGTCCTCAAGCTGGAGGTGGGAGGGAGGCACCCAGGGCAGGAGGCAAAAAGGCCCGGATGGCTGTGGCTCTGCCTCTCATCCTCTCCAGCCTCACCTTCCTCCCATTGGCTTCCAGGACCAGCTGCTCAGCCAGGGCCTTGCTGCGAGGATAGGGGTGTCTATGTGCTGCTTCATATGGGGTGTCCTCATTGCCTCTATGGGAGAGAAGGAAGACTTAATGTTGAGGGGAGATGGGGCTCTTAAAAAGTTTGGGGGGGGCCTCAGCTCACCTGTAGAAAGGGTGGCCTTTGATGTTGGGCCCCACAACTTCCATGCTGCTCGTGTAGACCAGGAACTGGGTTCCAGTCTGCACACAAGCCTCGATCACGTTCTGTGTGCCTGCAGGTGCGGGGTATGTGTCCAGACCAATGCTTCCTCCCTTCCCCTCCCCCATCCCAAATCTGGATGAGTGCACGTGGCTTCCTTCCCTAGGTCCAGAGAAAACCACAGCAGGTCCAAGAGGGCTGGCCTGCGATTACAGGGGCGGGAGTACACACAGGACAGGTTGTTACAGGAGAATCACAGAGGTCAAGGTCAAAGAGGGGGAGGGACACAAACAGCCCAGATTAGGCCATGTGCCGGGAAGTGTTAGGTGCATTTTTGGAGCAGGTAGAGAGTACCTCACCCTGCACGTTGACCTCATGGATGGTCTCGGAACTGGCCCTCCCAAACACGTCCACCAACCCAGCTGTGTGGATGACCACATGGGCTCCAGCCACAGCCGCCGTCACCTCGTGGGCCTGGGTCACATCCCCCTGGATGGCAGTCACTTGTACAGGCCCTGGTAGGGGACGGGGGCAGCCAGAGGTAGTGTCACAGCTGGGGCCATTGGCCAGCTGCTGGTTCAGCCTAATCCCTCGGGAGTCACTCATTCCCAGTGACTCATTCACTCCACCCACATGCACTGAGGAACATGAACAGGCATCATCTTTTTCTCCAGTGAAGGGAGTCCACCTCCTTCCCCCTCCCTGCCACAGTCACCTGTCTGCAGCTCCTCCAGCCAGGGCCCCAGGTGCAGGTCAAAGACACGCAGCTCACGAAGCCGGGGTTCCCGCTGTAGAAGCATCCGAACCACATGCTCCCCCAGGAAGCCACAGCCACCTGTAACCAGGTAAACCAGCTCCTGGGCCTGTGCAGAGTCGGCCATGGCCTGCTGGGGAGAGAGAACCTGACTCACCTGGGTGGCTTCCACCACTGGCTCCGGCACCAGCAGCCCACCTGTTACTCCTTAAAGAGGCCTCCGGCCTAGTGGACAGACCAGGCCTGGTCCTGGTGGCTGCATCTATGGGTGCAGCGGCAAGGCTACCTGCCCTCTGACCCTGCCTATGGCAGTTACTGAGATAAGAAAGGTGAGGGCTTGGCTTGCAGGAAAGACTCAGAGTTTGAGGTAGAGCGGGAGGTTCTGGGACAAAAAACAGGGTGGGAGGTGGGGAATTGGGATGGGAGGGCAGAGGAAGGTGGGCAGGGCAGGAATTGGGGGAAGGGACCCCTGACATCACATCTGCCTACCTGCAGCCTCGGTCCCAGGGTGCCCAAACTGGCCACCGGAGGGGCTCTCGTCTCTCGTTTCCTGGGCCAGCCGGCCAGCAACACACCGTCCTCCCCTTCCGCTTGCTTCTCCTACCTCCTGCCCATTCCAGGAACAGGCCAGCCCAGCCTCCACCCCGTTCCTTCTCCACTCTTGTTACAGGACGCCCCCTGGTGGCCACTCTGTGCTCCGCGGGCATCGGATTCCCGCCAAGAACTTGGGGGAGATGGGGAATCCAGGACCTGCTGGGTGGGCGCTGTGGGGTTTCCGGCCTCAGAATGGAGTAGGCAGGGTGACCTCACTCTTACTGCACGACGTCAGCCCTCCCGGCTTGCTGGATTTCCCAGGGGCCAGGAGCTCAGCTGCAGCTGTGGTTCTGGGAAGGGAAGAGGCCTGACCTAGGCTTGCTCTGGCTGGCCTCAAGGAGGGATTTCTAGATGGCTGTTCCAGCCTCCAATCAGGTGGCCCGGAGCAATGGTGGTTGAGTTCGCAGGTCTGGGCTCTTGCCCAAAAGCTTCTCTACCTAACCCAAACTCCGGGCCACCCATTTCCCCCTCCCTTCATTTGCCTCACCCCCTGTCCTCAATCCCAATCCCACCCTACTCTTCCCCAAAGATATCAAACAAGCAGTTTTGTACAATAAAGTTTAATCACAATTATAAAAATGTGGCATTGGGTTTGCGCTATTAACATATGTACAATCCAGCCCAATGGGAAGGAACTGCCCCCTCCACCGCCCAGCCTGGCTCAGCTGGAACCTCCAGACACCAGGGTGGGAGGGTGACCCATGGGGTCTGGCAGGAACAGAAGATGAGGCAGGGTTCCAGGCACGGAGTCCCCAGGACTGGGGGGGCACAGGCCCCCCCCCCGGGGGAGAACATGGCCACTGACCCTCGAGACCCCTACACTGGGGAGGGGTGCACGCAGGGCACGAAGGGGAAGCCCCCATTAACACAAAGCAAGGGAGCTGTGCAGCCCCCAAGGACAGGATCTGTACAGGCTGGCACCCCAGGTTTCCACAGGAAACAGCTGCTGGCAGCTACAAAACATTTACAGCTTCTTCTCCGCAAAGAAAAAAAATTAGGGGGTGGGTGAGCAGGGGTGACAGGGGAGGCAGAAGTTGCCTCAAGGGACTGAGACTCCCTTGCAAGGCTTGGGGGGCCCCCCAACTCCATTTTCAGAGCTGGGGGCATGTGGGCCCTCCTGAGCCCACTAAGGCTGGGGGGCTGGGAGCTCAGGGCACCAAGGGGAATAAATAGGGGTGTGGGCGCCAGTCCGCCCACCTCAGTTGAGGGAGCCGCGGCAGCTCTCAGTGCCGCACAGACACGGGATCTTGTTGTCCTCCAGTGGGAATTTGTAGTCGTAGGTGATCTCCTCATCCACACCGATGGGTTGCTTGGAGTAAATCACGATCTTCTTCTGGGACTCGATGGTGATCACCTTGGCGTAGCAATTGGGCTGCAGCGGGGCGGGGCAGGCAGAGTGAGCTGCGTGGAGGCAGAGGACAAGCTGTGGTCTAGAAGGACAGGTGAGGCTGAGATGGCTGCCGCGCCAGAGGCTGGGAGCTGG